AACTGGTTTGAAGGTGAAATGTTTGAAATCGGACAACGGAGGGGAGTACATTAGCACAGAGTTCATGGACTATTGTGCTGAACGAGGCATTCGGATGATAAAGACTGTTCCACGCACTCCTCAACAAAATGGAGTCGCAGAAAGGATGAATAGAACTCTAAACGAGAGAGCCAGAAGTATGAGAATAAATGCAGGGCTCCCGAAGATGTTTTGGGCAGACGCAATTAGCACTGCTACTTACCTAATCAACCAATCGCTTTCAGTTCCGTTGGGAATCAAAGTACCTCAAGAAGAATGGAAGGGTAAAGCTGTTGATTATAAGCACCTAAAGGTTTTCGGGTGCAGTGCTTATGATTTGAATCAAGATGGTGATAAGCTAGATGCAAAGGCCAAGAAGTACACCTTTATTGGCTATGGATCAGACAACATGGGCTACCGGCTTTGGGACTTTGAAAGCAAAAAGGTAGTCAGAAGTAGACATGCGACGTTCAATGAGGCTGAATTGTACAAAGACAGAAAGGAATCAAACTCTAAGGTTCAAAAACAGCAGGTTGAGTTTGACACAGGAGCAGAAAAGCAGGGAGCTAAACTGGTTCCTGAACCGGTTTCCGAACAAGAAACTGAAACAATTGTCGACACAATTCCAGAGTTTGAAGTCAGTGGAAATGATGAGTCAAAGGTAGCCTCTGACAGTGGGAGTTCGGAGTCTGAAGATGAACAATCCCCATCTGACCAGACTGATCAATGGGTCAGGAGGTCCACCAGAGTTACAAAGAAGCCAGATAGATATACTCCTTCAGTTAATTACATTCTCTTGACAGAAAGTGATGAGCCAGAAAGTTACTCCGAGGCAGTCAAGATGAAAGATTCTCTCCAGTGGGAGCATGCAATGAAGGACGAGATGAGCTCTCTAAAAAAAGAACAAAACTTGGGTTTTGGCTAAGCTTCCGCGACGTAAGAGAGCATTACAGAATAAATGGGTCTTCAGGATCAAAGAAGAGCATGATGGGTCTAAACAGTATAAAGCCCGTTTAGTGGTCAAGGGATTTCAGCAGGAAAGGGGGGTTGATTATGATGAGATTTTCTCCCCAGTGGTTAAAATGACAACCATCAGGTTAGTTTTGAGTATTGTAGCAGCAGAGAATTTACATCTAGAGCAACTAGATGTGAAAACCGCTTATCTACATGGTGATCTAGATGAAAAACAAAGATTTAAAAAAAGGAACGACCTAAGATTTATTACCTTAAAACATTTAGAAAAGAATAGGAAAAAATACATTTATTAACGTTTATAGATGAAATATTGGATGAAATGTCACCTTCCAGTCATTACAACAAAATGTAAGGACCTCTGCTGTCTTCTTGAAAATAGAGGGACCTGAGAATTATTTCAACAAAACTCGCGTCACCCGTGAGTAATTTTCTGTATAATTATGCATATTTAAAAAAATATTATGATAATGAAATATATATTTTTATAATAGTTAAAAAGTGAAAAGTTTTATAGAAAATAATAAACATAACGATTATTTTAAATAGTGAATGATTTTATAACCATTTAATAAAGATAACGGTGATTTATTGTTAGAAAGTGAAGCTTTTTAACATATGAATAAAATTAATACTTATTTAATGTAAAAATAAGTATGCACACACCTGTGACATAGTGTGCAAGGCTAGCGTGAAAAGTTTATACAAAATTAATGGTCATTGATTGAAGTGTTAACGGAAATTATTTTTATCAAAAAAATAAGTGTCAAATGAACCAATTACCTAATGACATGCCATTGTAATGTCCATATGCAGCATATGTCACATGTCATACTTCATTTAGACAAAGTTTCAATTATGATATAATTTTCAATTAAAAAAATATATAAAAAACTTTCAAGTGAATCAATTAAGTAATGACACATATCATCTTTCAACTCATCAATGAAAGCAACTCGAAGTGCTTCATTTCTACAAAAATGGATCGCAATGAATGAAACTCAGATATTGATGAATGAGAGTTACTCCCTCTGTCCCAGTATGTTTGTCCACTCTCATTTTTATACACCATCCAATACACTTCTTTAATCCATTTTATCTTGTAATTTGTATATTAAAAAATTATAGAAATTATATATTAATAATCTATATGTTAAGGCAAATCAAACAAGATCACACATGACTATATTTAGGCTTACACATTGAGAGAATTTGATGAGTCAAAGTGCATAGATGAACAGTTCCAAAACTCAAAAGTGGACGAATATAGCGGGACGGAGGTAGCATTACTTATTGATTATTAGTATTCGAATCAAATTATGATCGAAAAATTCAGATGAGACCACACCAAATCAGAAACATATACAATTTTAACTTTAATTGGAATTAAATGAGACTAGACTAGAAAGATTTCAGTCATACCATTTTATCCATTAAATCTCAGATCTGTCGGCGTGATGCATCATCGCTTACTCCGGTCACCCCTTTCCAAGGTCAAATAGTGGACAACATAAAAACCATGCGTAGAGTGGCAAAGTAACGCACCTTGCAAGTTCTTCTGAATTTGTCAAAAACAGAAGAAATGCAAGCTCTTTTAAATTTGTTTACAGAAAACAACAAAGATGGGCACCTAGTCAAGTAAAAGAACTCGGAGTAATAACAAAAAATAGTAATAAAAGGACAAACCTTATCTTTCCCATTGATGTCAGCCTTCACAAGTTTCAAGAATTATTCTTCGTGCACTTTTCCATCAATCAATGTCTCAACCTCATCAATGAAAGCAACTCGAAGTGCTTCATTTCTACAAAAATGGATCGCAATGAATGAAACTCAGATATTGATGAATGAGAGTTATTACTTATTGATTATTAGTATTCGAATCAGATTATGATCGAAAAATTCAGATGAGACCACAGCAAATCAGAAACATATACAACTTTAACTTTAATTGGAATTAAATGAGACTAGACTAGAAAGATTTCAAACATATCAGACCTTAATATATCAAACTAATGAGATAAGACGAAGAGAACATGCTCTTAGGCTTTCTGTGTAAGGTAAGAGGTTATCATCAATTAATTTCTAAATAAAAGAGATTGTCATTTGATCACCTTTGCATTAGTAATGCAATATCCGCAGCCTCAGGCTTTTGCTTCTCTTTCTGTTTCCCATATATTTCGCAGGTAACTACATAGGTAAATTTGAGATCTACTTGAGCTCTTGCTTCAAGAGACAACTCAAAACCTTGGGTATCAGTTGCTTTGCTCTGTGAAATTGCAGCCTCAGAATCTAAAGATGCATGTACCAGAGTATTATTAGTAAACAACCACAGTAATGACTAATGAGAAAAAGAACATTAGAACATAATAACTTCATCTCGTATATGATAACCTTGAGCTGCCACCCTTTCCAAATATGCTTGAAGCATGAGAGCTTTTTGGTAGTACATCATTCCACACACTGCAAAACCCAATGAATTGTGTTTGTAAACCAAAATCATAGAGTATAAGAATAAGCACATCTCAAAAAAGTTCAAAATATAAGCCATTTATTTTTTTTACAAATCTCAATATATTTTCTGAGCTACATTCTCACCCTTTCTCCTTTAAAAGTAACCAAATAAAAATGAGCACATACCATATTGTGTT